AGAAACATGTTTTTCTTTCAGAATAGATGCAGTGAAGGTTAAAGGGGTTAACAAGGCTGATTATTAAGCTCAGGCAGGCATTGGATGGTAATTTTGCTAATTTTTTAGGCTGAACTACAATGCTGTTATATCTAAGGAGTGTGAATAATGTATTTCTTCACACATGAAAGCTCCACAGGGATGAGCTCAGTTAAATGAAGGTAGCAGCAAACATCTTTATTTTCAGCCAAGAGTAGCTTCTCTTGTACAACATTCTGCTCTTGACTGAATCCCAGTAACTGTACATTCTCAAACTACAAGGGAAATTTCAACATGGTTATATGTTTTCTACTCTGTATTCTTCTGAACATCAACATGAAAGTTTCAAGGGTTTCCTTTGCTCTAATACAGGACCAGCATATATCCAAATTTAAGAGAGTGAAAATTATTATCACCATCAAGTCAGAAGTAAATAGAGCCCTTCAAGCAATCAGCCATTTAAAAAATGAGTAAAATTACTTAAATTCATTGATTACAATACTGCAAGACTTACTTTGAAGTCTAACCTCAGATCTTCAGTAGAAAGAATGATTGTTTTTTAACAACTGCAAGGATTAAAATATACCAATTCCTAAACCAGCAAAACAAGATGTCTCCTTACAATCTCTTGTGCTTCTGATGCTATGTGCTTGGTTTGCTCCTTGTACAAACAAATTCCTTTCTCAGTTATGCTTCTTCTTTTTTTCCATTGCATTTTGCCCTGAAAAAGTGGTCATGAGCAATACCACCTTAAGTCCCTTGCACACTAAGTATTTCTGGTATTTCAGATACTGAAGCTCCTTTTTCCTGAGATGAATGCTCTTTCGTCTTTAGACTGGAGAGCTGTATTGTTTCTCTTGCTAATGAAATAAATTCCAGAAGCTGAGCTGAAGCTAGAAGAGGAAAGTGTGTTGCAGCATCTCAATACTGTCCCAAACACCTCACAGAGAGGTCATCAGGCTTGCTTTCTGTATTGGCAGATACAGGGCTGAGGTAATAAACCGAAGCACAGCAAGCTGCTGGAATGTCAGCACTACTGTTTGAAATGGTGTTGAAGAGCAGCTGTGCTGGAAAAGAAAAGGAGCAGTCATTTTCCTGCTTTAGTGACAATATTGAAAGGCATCTTTTGCAAGGACCCCATACTCTACGATTGCCATTTATGTATTCATTTGATATAGGTATCCTTCCTATTACCTGTAGTGCTGGACCCTAAGAGGGCCCACTCACACTTCAGAATCTCATGGTAGGAGCCTCTTCACAGCACAGTGGCTGCTGCCAGCTGCATTTTCAGAGGCCCCTAAATCCCTCTGTAGGAAGCGCAACTCTGAGTGTCTGATCCTGCTCTATGAGCCAGGCATCCAAAAACAATACAATATCTAAGTCACTTTAAAAATTCAAGTCTTCACAGCCTCTCAGCTGACTTCCACTTTCACGCATAGAGGCTAGTGTTGTAGATCACATATAAACTGGGTTTTTTCACTAATTCCAGAAGAAAATCTGCAGCACTATAGCTAGAAATCTAAGGGTTTTTTCAAACAGTACCGAAAATACAAGAGGACCTCTGGTGTTGTGCCAAGAATTATTTTACTTGGTGAACAGTGGCAAATTATTTGCACAGTAAAGAGTATATAATTACAAAATGCAAACAGTATCTGATATCACAATTACTTCACTTTGTTATTGTGAAGAGTAGAAGGTAATTCATTTCTGGACCTACCAGATTAAATGTAATTATTAAAAACCACAGCAATTGTAAGCATATGCCAGTAAAACAGAGTTAGATGTTATTGTACTACCTGACACTTTATCCAAAACTAAATATTGCAAGTAAAACAGAAAAAAACATTTCAAAAGAACATCTAAAAAGTCATCGATTAATCATGTGGCTAAGAAAGTTATGAATGTTAGCATTTCTTCAGTATTATTAATAGCACATTCTGTGTTATAGTTATTTCAACTTTAACTGCAGTAATTGCCAGGGAATCAAAAACCTCCCTTATATGATTTACTGACTGTACATTTATGTGGTATTTAATATCACATTTTAATTTAATACCAACTTAATTTTCACTTGATTAAAATCTTGAGACAAAAACCTAATTCCATTGTCTCTACTGCTTTGAAAAATTTGTGTCATCTTCCAGTGTAAACTTTCGGGGGGGGGGGAGATGGGTGATAATGCTGCAAATTAACCTTTATCTTTACTGTCACAGTGACACTAAAATTATATCTATATATAAAATAGCTCTGAGTTCTGTGGAACTCTCTTTTTGTGTCCTGGCTATGCAAACCCACCAAAACCAGGCCTTTTGCAATCATCAGTCAATTACATGGTTTGTTTCAGAAGAAGGAATGGCAAACCTAAAAACATTTACAGTAATTGCTGACAAGGAATGGACTAGGCAAGGATACATAGAGTTTCTGTATCTGTCACCAACTTTTCTCACCAGTTGTCAGAGAAGTCTGGAGAAAGAGGAGCAGCATGAGTTTCCCCTTCTTTGTGAGGAAACAAGCTCTGAGGAAATCCTACACGTTCTGAGGAAGCTGTTTGCATCAAATACACAAACAGCTGTTAAGGGCATCAAACTGAACAAAACACTTGATTGATGAGAAAGAATACAAACTGGTACCTCACATGTGTTCTCTGCATATATCTTGTACTTATCTGCTTGCCCTTTGCACTTGAGCTAGTTATTGCCTCTAAAGTGCTAAAAGAGGCAGAAGCATGACTCAAACACTATGCTGACTAAATTCTGATTGTGGAATCATTGGTTTCTTACTAAAAAAAGCAGTAAAAAGAGCCCTTGCTTTACTTTCAGGTTTCAGCCTGAGTTAGCTTAAACTGAGTAAAGGTGCTGTGGGGTAGCTCTGATTCAACAGGATCTGAACATTCCTGAGAGAACACTGACATACCCTATGAATGCTGCTGTAGTGAAACACAAGCTGATTTTGTGTTTACTGAGCTGCTATTACTAGTAGTCTTGGTAATGTTGTTTCAATATAAGTAGACAGGAGATGAGTTTTGTTCATATATTAGTTACATTCAGGATGTGAGACTGTTCTGAGAAAACTGGGAAATTCTGGAGCGCAGGACTGAACAAATCCTACAGTCTTAAAAAATAAAAAAAAGTGTGTCTCTATCTTCTTTGCCAGTTGTGCCCCTATTTATCAGCGGACTGTCAATCTCTATTCTGTAATTACATTATTTTCAAAACTGTGCAGTTCCTTTGAGAAACACATTGCTTTAACTTAGTAGCTATTCTCCTCTGCCCTGCTGTGGTGCTTTTATCATAATACTCATCATATGCTGGCAACCACAATCTTCTGCTACCAAAAACGGCCCCATTGAAAGGCTAAGATGAATCTTCTGACAGCTCCTTAAATTTATTCCTTTTCTCTCTTGCTACTGTTAGTAAAGCAATAAGCTTGTGTTTTGTTATGTTTTTCTTTTCTGATGCCTCCTTTCTTAATCCTATTAGAAAGACACAGGCAGGTAGCTTTGCAGGGTGACAGCTTTTTTAAGAGTGAATAATCTACTGCTGTGCATGCTAATAGGTAATGCTAGGTTTGATTAACTAATTTTGCAAATGAATATCTAAGTAAATTACTTTTGCAGACTGTTTCCAATGATTCTTTCTCTTTAACTGCCTCTTTAAATAGCTTCATACTGATTGTTGCTGCTTATGATAAGAATTCATATAAAACCCTGGGGTATATATTTCATGGTAAATATATCCGGTGTCACCTTACACAAGAAAACCCTCTACCTCACACACATCTTACTTAAAGGTACATAGTAACAGTTTCAAGCTATTTTTTTTCCCAGAAATTTCAAAGTCATATAGGAAAGTGATTTCCTTTCATGGCTGGTTTAAAAGACACTTGGAGATTTATGTAACTGGATATGCCCATAAAGGATTTTTAAAGATTACAAAGATAGAGATAAATTAATTGCAAACAAACACCGATAAGTCCATGAAATCTCTGAAAAATCTGGCTTGCGTGTATGGCTAGAGAGATCTGATCCTTTTGCCAAGTTAATACAAGACTGTGACTAAAAATGAGAGACTTTTTCTCTTATCTTTTTCTTTTGTATTTGAAAGTAAAATATTCTCTTTTAAACCAAAATATTATGTCATGTACAAATGTATACAGTGTAAATATTTCACACATTCAGAAAATCCACCATTCTTTCTAAAGAAGTTGTGGTCTTAACCTATATGAGATCTGCACTGATCTCATTGTCCATAGATCACTACTTACTTATATATTTGAAATTTCAGTTATCTCATATTTCTTAGATGTTTTCCTTTAAAAGATAAACTTCATATACAATCCATGGCCCATGTTCCTTTGCCTCAGCTGAATAAACCTGTGTCTTGACAGCCTAACTTACATATTTGCTGTCAAACCACTACAGTGCTGCTTATGCTCAAGGCATCAGCTCTAATATTATCTGCCCTCTGAAACCTTACATGAGCTTTTCCATGTATTCCTGAATCACATTAATTTTCAAGTCTTCACCCTTAAATACCTTGCAACATTTCCCTCCAACACATCTCCTTCCTTACTTCTCAGTCCTTCTGTCTCTAACCCCTATCACTTCTTTAAATGTTTAGCACCTTCTGCTCTATTACCTCAACACAGGTTTCATGTTTGTCTGACACCACGGTGTTCACTCATCTTTCTTCCTTTAAATCCATCCTTAAAACCTGCCTTCCCATCTTCTAGCATAGAATTATCCAATAGTAATTTACCAGGAGTGGGCAGAATCCCCTCCACCCACTCATATATGTGAAGTCAAATAATTCATTCTGAAACCCCACAGACCTTTTTAAATGACAGCCAGCAACTTCTGCCTCCCCCTGGAAAAAAAAAACGCTTTGCAAAAGAGGGCACAGCAGACAGGGCAGGCAGGAACAGAAGAGCTGTACTGCCTTTCAGTAGGAGAAATGTGAAATACACATTGCAGCTCCACTTACCGGTTTCTATTGCTAGAAATCCAGTCAGAGATTAATGTTGCAGCCTGCTGGTGACAGTGTTTGTTCCCGAAGCTGCAGGCCAACATGATGACTTCCCGACGCAACTCTCTGTCCAAATTAAAGAAAGCAATAAAGCTGCTCTAATAAATGTGTTTAAATGTTTACAAAAAACTACTTCTTGTAACAGCAACAGCAACCAGTAGTTGGGCAACATATCAAAGACAATCTGGCTTTACAAATCTCAGAGTCAGTTTAATGCCTGCAACAACTAAAGAAAGGTCATTGATCAAAACCAGCCCCCATTTACAGTCAGGCATTCTCCCCAGCCTCTGTGGACACATGAGTACAAGTTTTTAGAAATCCACAATAATCAGATATTAAGTTAGGGCTTAGGAAATCATGTTCTCTCAATTTAAGAAAGAAGAATTAATCTCACAGCATGTTTCTGCTTTCCATGCAACCCAGAATGGAAAAAATAGAAGGGTGACAGAACTAAGGAATAATGATTGATTTATGATAAACATTACTAATTTATAGGAGGGTGCATTTCTATAATTATATTTCACAAATAAACAATAAAAAGGTAAATATAACAGTACTCATGTTGGTATGATGCTTGAACAAGTGATTTGTTTAAATTGTTCGTTGGCCATCCAAGCTTCAGATACATTGATGCCACTTGTCTTAAAATATACTCCTGAGGAGAAAAAAGTATATTTAATGTTAAAAATAATTTATTTTACTTGAAATTGAAATACTGCTGACTAGTGAGTTGTGGTCTCTCTTTGTACCCTCAAATAATTTACACAATTCCAAAGACTTAGCAAAGCTACTTGTCCACTTATAATCTTCCTTCACTGCTATAGTAATAAGCAGTCTCTAGATGAGCTACTTGATTAGATGCCGACTGTAAGACAATTTATTGTTATAAAATCCATGAATTTCAGAAGTTTATTACATGCTACTTTGAACTCAAAATACACAGCTGAGAAATTACAAGAGTGTCAATAGCTTAATTTCTACTTTGTGGCCAATCTTGACTACACCGTGCATATTCACTTTTAAAAGAACACTGTTTTAATATCCATAGCCATGGTCAAAACATTATGTGGGTACAGTCAATTGACTTCAGAATACATAACAATGTGGTTGCAAATAAGCTTTGTACATTTAATGACACTATCTATGCTTTAAGTTTAGGCTCCTGATGTGCTTAAGGAACAAAACAAGCACAAGATATATTTTAGCAACTTCTACTTTTTACACAGACCACATTATTTACATATTCTGATCAGTTTTGAAGAAAACCACTGTCTGTGTATTCAGTGTAATCTTTTTGCAGTGGAATTCACCAATTCATAAAAGAGAACTGAGACACACAGAAGTGCATAGGAGAGCATCTATTTTATTATTACAGATGCATAGGCATGTATATATGTCAACACAAAAGAAGATTCATATTGCAGCTTTCTCCAGCAGATATGTTATTCTATGACTAAAATGATTTTTATTTTCTCTGCTATCACCTCGGCTTTCAAAACTCCCATCAGTAGCGCTAAAACATTACCCAGCTGTGAATTTTACTGTGAATTGTGTTTTCTTTATACAACCATGTTTAAAAGTGTAATAGCAATGGCAGACTCCTAAGAATTTTTCTTTACAGTTAACAGCAGACTAAATATGCAAACTATTTCAACTGCATTTTACATTATGGCTCTGGTTTGCATGTAGGCCTTAGTATATGTTCCACAGAAATAATTTTCCATGTCATCAGGTAATTCTGTGTATATGCATGGGGTGTGGGTGTGTTTACCTATATATCTACATATTAAAATATGTCTATATATATAAATACAGTCACTTATAACTTTTCTTCTCTCTGAGCATGGTGTCTGTGGTCACATACACACAAACAAATATACATTAAAGAAGAAAAAAGCATCCTTAGGCATTTCAGGCTTTAAAAAGCTCCTTCATTTGAAGGCTTTACAACATTACATAAAGGTACCGTATGCTGGCTGTTGAAAATATGTAGACTACATAAAATTCATAGTGAATAAAAATCCCAAGAGTTTGTAATTGTCACTGGCTGCAGTCAAACCCTGTGTACTTCATAAACCATGCTTCAGTGTAGCTACAAGCTAAATGTTACAATATTTGCCATGTCTATCTTAATTATCTACTGGGAGCTATTACTGCTGTCCCATTGGACACAATTATGAATGGGCCTTTGACTCAACGGTGATCTAATTCTTGTTAATTAAGGTAACTGCATTGAATTCAGCACGGATTTTGGGATGAAATAATGACTACAAATCTTTGCTTCAGTTGCATGTATTCTGTTCAGTTGTGCCTGTATTTGCTGTTCTTGCTGATCTTGGGCATCCACCTAAGTATCACCACGGGGCTCCTCAAAAGGGAAAATCTGGCAATAGAATACTTTGACTCTTTTAAGTGAAATATTTTGTCATAATATTTTACATAAGGGATAATTACCTTTCCTTCTTCTAGTCATATATGCCTCAAACAACAGTTATCACTGCTCAATTGCAAATGAACCGAAGCTTGATCATTGCTATGTTTAAATAAAGAGTAATTAGGAAGAAAGTTAATATTCCTAGGTCATTAACAGTATCTTGGGGAACAGTTCAAATCTTGGCAATAATATGAGAGAGAAGAGGCAAAAGGAAGAAAGGCAGGAAGGACTGACAGATGCAGAGAGTAAGTGGAAGAAAGAAAGGAAGAACCAGAGGAAGAAAGAGAGGAAGACTGTATCTCTTACATTGAAGATATTGTAGTTTTCTGTACGGTCCAGCAATTTATCTAGAGGATAAAGAGCTCGGCTGGCAGCATGCCAAGGCAGAAAATCTTTTTCCTCTGAAAGGTACCTCATAATCTCCAAAGGAATATTCTGAGGCAAATAACCAGCTCTGCACAATAGAAGAAGTTAGTATTAAATTGGTTTTCAGAAGATATTCACGATGGGGCACAAGCAACTTGGTTTTTTCCCAAATGAAATTAAAAAGCAGAAAAACATAATAAACTCGTCACACTTTAATGACATAAAAATCAACCTTATAAAAAACCAGCAACTTGCCATCTCTCCCAACACAGAGAAGCATACTGACTTGATGAAGTAAGGCATGAACACACTCGAAAGAAAACCAGACAAGCTATCCCTACTTTGAACAAATTCCTCTGGCTATGAAAGACGTGAATGAAGAAGTAATAGCCCTTAAGGGAAAAAAAAAATCCAAAAAAAAGGAAGGTGCTACATTGTTGATTTGTAAGATAGAAAGCTGTCTGCATAAAATCAACAACCAAAGGCATTTTGCTTGAGAGCACATTTCTACTGATCATCAGCAATTGAAAATAACTAGTGCTGAAGAAAAAGCTTTAGTTTTACAGTTATTCTCCTCACTCTTTTCTTTCTCCTTTAGAACTTCCTTGTCTTCTAACCACCTTAAGTCACTTTGGAAGGACTTATCCAGTGACACCACTTTGGTGCAGGATGTTCCAGCACTTTGCACACAAATTATAGATTTTTTTCAGGTGTTTATAAATCAACCAGCTAAAATTTTGTCCCATTTTTGCAATCATAAAAGACATCCTCCTGCATGGGAAAGAGTGGGGGTGGGGGTACAGGAAGGGTTCTGAAATAATAGCATTATATGTACAATGCAGTACAGACACAAGCATTTGAAAGTTACTTTAAAAAGCAAATACAGAAAATGCCCAGCTTTAGCTTTTGCTCTCACTTTCTTTTTGAGAAGAGCACTTTTTTCTTAACTATCCACACTGCAGAAACGAAGTGCAACCCTGTGGGTGTGAACTTTCCAGAAACAAATTGTCTATTCTTCTCCTAATGCAGATGTTTAAATCCAAAATGAGTTAACTATCTGCCTAGAGAGGAGATACTAATTCTCTTTTCATTAAATACTTAAAATCAGCAAGGTAGATTCCAAAAAGTTCAATTTATTAGGCTACAGTATGATATAGCTTCATAGACTAGTTTTTCTCCTTTCTTTGCACATGTTCCTGTAATTTCCCTCAATGTGGAAGAAATGCAAACATATAGCAAATAAATAAAATTACACACATTAGTACAGAAATTAACCATTGCATACATAAACATATATTTAATTAATATAAATTTTTATCTCTGCTGTAGTAACATGTAAAAACTGCCTCACTGCTTGAAACAATTTGTTTCCTTGCAATGTGCACCACATCTTGCAGGCCTTCATTTTTTATACTCTCTGTTGGAAGGATTACACTCTGTTCTCTTCATGTTCTCACGAAAGAAGTGAGTTCATGTAACAGATTCCAAAAGTATCTATCCCACCCTCCAGTCTGCTTCATGTCATTTTTGTCCACATTTTATCAGCTCTGTTTCCAACTCTGGTTCCAGCACATACTCAAGCACGAAAAACAAGATCACTTGGGGAGCCCACTGTGCCAACTGAGGAACTGAGCAGAAATGAAATGAAAATGGTAAAGCATTTAGAGTAGGCAGCAGACAAAGTCCAATGCATCTGAAGACAGAAGGCTACTCCATTTTATAGGTCTTGTTTCTGAAGCAGCAAAGTATCATTAAGATGACAATACTTAATACTTTGCAAAGATCTCTAAACATAACTAATGGAGCCAGAAGCATACTAGACTGACTGCAGTTAAAAATCTTGGAAGTAATATTAGCAAAGAGGCAAACTAGCTTAAAGTTGCATATACATCATTATTTTCTACCAGAGTTTGTGATTATTTTTACTGATAATTTGATTGACATGAAAAAGTGTGGCGTAGTAACAAGGAATAGCTCTAGGAAACATGCTGCTTAAGGAATAAACAGATTACTGTTTATTATAGCTGCAACTAATGGATATTTAAGTTCATATTTTGAAATTCAATCTACCTATACTAAGTGCAGAAAGGAAAACAACACTGTAAAACAAACAGATTATTTCTTTCTAAGCTTACCTTTTCCATAAAGACACATAAGTGAACTCAGAGATTGATCTCATTCCTGAGCTCAGAGCTGCCTGATGAGTTTCAAAACCATGATTCTTGGATGATGATAGTCACTCATCCTCTTCACAACAGCTGTTATTCTCATCACTCACTTCTTCTAACTTCCAAATTTATCAGACAATTCAATTATGCATGTCTCACCCCCCAAATCTCACCTTCCCTATTGTTTCCCTAAGAGTATTTTGCAACTTACATGAACAGATTGTGGCAAAGTTACATTTTTCCCTGTTTACCCCTGACCCTCCTTTCCTTTCTGGGTATGACCCTGGAAGAGCTTATGCCCGTTGTCATCAGAATCACACACCAACCAATTGATCCCAAGAGAAGGGATGGGGATGACGGGAGATTCTTGGGGATGAAGGGAGATTCTTGTCATTATTATATAAATGATAACAAATTCATCATTTCAGATAATGGTTTAGAGGAAAAGAGGTTATGGCTGCTACAATTAATGTCAAACTCTTCTGTCAGCACATGCTGGGCAGTCCAGATGAGAAGATGAACCTCTGAGAGAACTTTAGCAGAGACATATCTCAAATCCTCTTACAGTGGCAGTTAAGACAGCAACTTTCCTGAATAAAACATAAGTAAGTGCTTCAGGAACATTACCTTGGCAGAATAGTCTTTATATTTTACACTATTTTATTTCATGGATGCCCATGGAAAAACATGATAGCCCTATTCTTTTACCCTAGTCGCTAAGCCATGTTTGTTAACTTTTTAGTCCAAATACACTGCACTCCTAGACTATTTGGTAGTAAATAGCTTCTGTCAAGAGGTAGTAAGTACATTTATTGTTTCACCTTTTTCATAAAAAGTGGCATATAATGTGTATGTTATAAATCATTAACTATATACTACAGTTTTCATCCCTTGAGGAGTATTTTCATTCAGAAAAAAATTTAAAAAAACAAAAAGGAAAAATTTTAGTAAGGATGAGGCCAAAACACTAAGGTTTCTAAATTTTACATGCATAGTTGAGAAAATAGGATATAAGGAGAAACTTTCACCACAAATCATAAAAGAGAAAAAACTCTCAACCTAAACAATGAACCATAAAATGTATAAGAAGTCCTAAAATCCGGATCACAGATCTAGGACCTGTGTGAAGTGTCCCAGGAGGTAGCATGACTACCATGACAACCATCACAACCAGGGCAGCAGAAGCAGAAGCCTCGATAAAGCAGTGTGACTGTATGGTGACCTATGCTCTAATATTCTGCATCTTCACAAAGCACAATAACTGGTTTCTTAAAGTCTGTATTTTAGTATAGTCACACTCTTTTAATTTACACTAAAAGCCTGTCCAGTGCTAAGAGTGACTTCAAGACTCCTGTTTCCCAGGGAATACTGCATTCAGCAAGATGCACTGGGCTCACTTGAACAGTGGCAAACCAGACAAAGGGTGCTGGCATGATTCTAGGATTCTCCTTCACAAGCCTGGAACAATGAGTCTGGAAAAGATATAAAGGATCTGGTCAGCAAAAGCATTTATGGAGTAGGACAATAACCAAAATGAGGAAAGAAGGGAGAACAGAGAATGAGTCTGTTCTGAGTATTTCTGTGAACTCTGTTGGAAAAACATGGATCTGTGGAAATTTTGAACAGAAATTATTCACAATCATTATAGCAATACTGAGAAAACTAAAACTATCAACCTTCCCATCAAAAGCAAAATTGTAAAATAATTTCCTTGTCATAAAATTGCCTAGAAAAATTCACTCAAAGGTACTAGGGAGTGTAAGTTTAGTACATACTCTACACATGCAGCTTGACTTATTACTCTCAAGAATGTCACTGGAAGGTCAGTGACAGAAAACCTTATTTTTCTTGTGTCTTTTTAGCCATCAATCATATTGCTATCTTTAAGTCCAGCAAAATTACTACCAGATACTGCCTGTCAAAGTCCAAATGCATAATAGTCAGGGCTAAGAGAGAAGGTTCTTTTCTAGCCAAGCCATCTTGGAGAAAAATTGAAATATTGTCTGTCATTAGGGGAAGAACTGATTATGAGCTATACTGAAACCAGGTGACAAGCATAAACGCCACAGAAATACTGTGATGTCCAATCTTATGTCTAGTCTAAAACAGGTGCAGTTTTTTCTAGGTATGTCTCCAGTAGCCACCTGGGAATCTTAGCAAGCATGTATCTTTTCCTTAAAAAATTACACAGAGGAACTTGGGATAGTTTTGGCAAGTATTTTAACAGATAAATTAGTTAAATCAGTATTGAAAGATAAACAGTAGCTGAAAGCATACTGATATTCAGGTAAAACATTTCTCAAGGGCAAGGTTAAAAAGTTTTCAAAACTTCATCTATAGTACCTGGAATTAAAACAGCCTTAATAACTCACCTAGTGTCTCCCTACCCAAAGCAGATTCATAGCAATGTAATTCCTGACAGAATTTTTTTTGTTTATATAGGCCTCTACCAATGGATAGCCTAGGAACACTACTATTTCAGTACTGCTCTGCCAAGAGAAGATAAGAATATCATAGTTCTGATCTTTTCCCTGTAAATACTCATAGAAGAGTGCCAACAGATCTATTTCGTATTATATAAGAAATGATCTGTTATTTACATATCTTCAATATAAACTACGAAAAGCAGATATCCCACTTTATAGTATTTCAGATTAGAGAGTTTCGAGCTGACATCACGGGTCCTACAGAAAGCAGCCTAGGCTTAAAACAACCTCTACAAGCCCCTCTCTAAGCCAGCTTTCCCCACATTGAGTCATTTGAAGCACAGGACTAAAAAAGCAAAATTTAACCAAAAAGATAACATTTGAGATGCTTCATTGATTCATCAATTTCTACCTAACTCTCCTAACCCATCAGTTTACCACCATGTCAATCATTCTGTACCATCACAACACACAAGAGCATGTGTTAAAAACTC